AGAGCAGAGCTGATAAAGATACACCAAAGTGAATAAATGGTGCTGCTTGTTAGCGAAAGGGGAGGAAGGTAGGCTTAATGGAGAAAGAAGTTGAAATTAATGGTGAAAGTGAGGTTTATCTGTGTAATCTGTGGACTTGGTGTCTTCCCATCTCCTATTAGCATAGATACAGAGTTGTCTGTATAATGATAAACAGAAGCCGTCTGTAGTTTCCCATAAATCTCCACCACTTGTCGCTGGCTTCCCTGGCTTGGATTCTCAGAACGCTTCCTTCTTACCAGGTCAGGGGCCATCTTTCCTCCAGTTTGCTTCCATCCAGCCATCACTGCAGGACCCCTAAACCTGAGCTGACCGTGTTCCCATTTTTCCTGCTTCCTCCTGTGCTCCAGCCGAATTTTACCAGCATCTCAGGAGAACAGCAAACTCTCATAGTCACAGCAAGATCTTACTGGACCCAGAACTGTTTTCAAATTGTAAGCATTCCACAAATTTACCTATATCAAATCAAAACATCTGGGAACATTTAAACACAGATGCCCAGAATAGCTAGTGTAGGCCCAGAAGTCCTAAATAAGGATCTACTGAGGACTTTTTTTTCTCAGTGATAGGATAGAACTACTTATCAATCATTTTTTAAACTGTTATTTTAGTCCTCCTAGTCCCTAGAAGGAACTGTAACCTTCTTAACCATAGGCCTGAAACTGCCTAAGAATTTTTTTCTAGCTCTTGATAAAACTTATGAGTGAACTACATATTAACTTCACTCCATTAAGAACATGGATATAATAGAAATTAGTTTTTTAAAAAATCATTAGCTTTATAAAATTATGGTAACACGGTTTACTCTAAAAATGAAATTTCTGATACATCTTTTCCATTCATCACTGATTAGTTAAAAATCCTAATTAATTATAATAAAATTTTCTAGAACTAGCTTCATTAATAAATGGTGATGAAATCATATGGCATTAAAAAATGAATAAAGGCAAACATTCATTAAGCATGTAGGTCCTTTTATAGTATCTCAGTTAATCCGCACAGCAACCCTGTTACTATCTCCATTTTATATGGTTCAGGACATTTATAAGCCATATGTATTCTGGTCCTTATTTATGAACTGACATTCTTAAAAAAAAGTTCTCATAAGGCAATTATAAAACAGGATCATCTTTCTAAATCACAGAGCTTTTTTTCCCCAATTAGCTTGAAAAAAGTCTCCAGATAAATCTATGAAGCTGGAGAGAAAATTATTTTAAAAGGTTAGTCAGCCTTCCTTGGAATTTTCTATCACAAATGCATTTCACACCTTAGATTACACTAATAACATTTCTGGGACCCCTCTTCTGAGGAAATCTCAGTGCCCAGTTGATCCAAGCCAACTCATTCTCTACTACAGGGAACACATCACCCTAGGCTTCAGACTCACCTACTCTTGAGTCCTACAGGCCACAAACCATTCACAAACTATTTGCAGGAGAATATGCCTGTGTATGAGATGCAGTGATTTTTGCCACCCAAAGATTATAAAATGAGAAAATAAACCCAGTATGTAGTTGCTTAAAATATTTTTAATGTGAAGGCTTGATTTTTTTTTAAGTTTCTTCAAAAAGAGCCTGCCTGGTATGACTGCATCTCAAATGCAGGTATATTCAATAGAGAAACTTAGGTTCAGAGGTCTAAAAGGGGCCTCAGAGGATGTTTAATCTCATTCCCTTACTTTTCAAGTGAGAGAATAACCCCACAGAAGGGAAACAAAGTCCTCAAGGTCATATGTGGGAACTTGGGAACCTGCCTGAAAGCCCCCTCTCCTTTATTTATGATTTATGGGAAACTCCTGTTCCTGTTACCGCTCCAGAGCGCCCCTGCCAGAACCCCACAGAAACACAACCAAGCATGAGATTAGCAACCCCTCTGGAACCCAGGTGATGATTTGGCAAGGTTCAAATGTATATTAGTGAACTTTGGATGAAATAATAACATTGATGTGAAGACTACTACACAGAGATTTAAAAGCATTCAGTTAGCATTTCATACTGATACAGACTGAGAATTGAAGCAGAAAAAGGTTAAAGGAATAGAATGGAATGAAAAAGGAACTATAGTACAATAATCAGGTTATTCAAAAAGTCTCCAAGTCCTTCCTTTGGGCAAAATGATTCTTTTTTCATATTTCCAGCCTAACTTCCCTTTCTGACCTTACTCTATAAAAAATATCATCTCACAACAGTATTTACAGCAGCATTATTCATTATAGCCAAAAGGTGGAAATAAGCCAAATGTCCATCAACAGACGGATGGATAAAGAAAACACAGTATGTACATACAATGGAATATTATTCAACCATGAAAGGGATGGAATTCTGATACATACTGCAACATGGATGAACCATGAAAACATGATGCTAAGTGAAATTGGCCTGCCACAATGGGACAAATATTTCATGGCAGCTTTACAGAGGCAAAAACTATAGTAGAGGTTACCAGGGCCAATGGGAGGGGGGAATAGGGAGTTATTGTATAACAGGTGGAGGGATTCTGGTTGGCATGATGAAAAAGTTTGGGAAATGAGTAATGGTGATGGTTGACCACTGTGAATGTACTTAGTACACTGTGAATGTACTTGCATACTTTAAAATGGTTGAAGTGGTAAATTTTAAGTTATGCTTATTTTAATACAAACACAAATCTTATTAAATTCTGGATCATATCCCTTCATTTCCCAGCTGGAAATCTTAGAACTTTATCTTATTCATTTATTGCTACTAAAGCCCAAACTTCTTCTCAAGACCTGCTCACTACCAACAATGTTATGTTCGATCTTTGTACGTCAACACACACGGATAAATACAATCACACCCAAGCCACTTTGTGTCCTGAAGACCTGAGACTGTGAACACGTATCCATCCTGAGACCTCCCACACGATGACTCCAGCAAGAAGGCCCATGGAAAGACTGATGCAACCAGTGTTTCCGGAGATCCTGGCAACCAAACACAGTGACACAGAGTCCCAGCTCAACCCTTAAATTCCTCCCCACAAGGGGACATGGAGTGCGGAGAGTATGTATCTATACTCTGTCTATAATGACAACTGTGTGCACATACTAGGGAGACCTTTAGGCATTGACACCTCAAGTCTGCTCCACCAAACCCATGAACAAAGAGATTTCAGGCCACACACGGGTATTTGATGAACTCAGCAACTGCATATTACACTGATCAGTGGGTGTCCTTAATGCAAACGCATATAATTAGGAGGTAAATCTTTGTACCTTTACAGGACAAAGGATATACTAAGCAGGATGTATCAATTGTGACTTCTGAGGAAAGGAAAGCTTTTCATTTTTCCTTAAAAGAACCCATTTTCTCTTAAAGCAAAAAGAATCTGAGAACTAGAGTATTTTGAAACAGAAGCAGGGTAAGGGGGCAAAATAGTTTTGTGTGTTATAGTCGTAATTTATCACCCAGGCTTGAGAGGCACCAATTCTGGGCCATACCATGACCTTTATTCAACTTTAAAGGTTTTAACAACCTCATCTTCTTTTGTGGAAACCGCATCATTGCCAGTGGTCTGATAACTGAGTCCCATAAGCTTTTTTTAAAGACCTCAAGAGTTCGTGAAGAAAAACAATCTCTAATGACACTTGCCATTGCCAAAACAGATGGACAGTTAGAAAAAATAAGCCTCCACTTGTAAGAAGTCCACTTGATATCATTCCCTTGTGCATCCTAAAGACACATGTCGAGATTACACTAAGATATTTAGAGGCAAACATCTTTAGAATAAGGTCTCATTTCCAAAATGCTTAATTAGCAGAAACCCTGCTATGGAACTGCCCTTGGGTGTCCATGCATTTTAATCTCCATGTTATTTTTCCTGAAGCACAAATTTTCCTCTTACTGGATGGTTCAGGAAACCAGTGGGCTCAGAAAACCGACTCTCTTAGGTGTCGATCCACAAAATGAGTTCCATCTTTCCAAGCAGGTTTCATTTGCTTACAGGATGACATCCTGGTTTACGAGGAAACTGTTCTTGGAGTCAAATGCCCTTTCTCCATTCATTTTGGATAAGCAATGATCCTATGGCTTAGTTCCGGCTAAACTCTCAACACTTCCCACCCACCTCTTCTGCCCCCTTGCACTTTCCTCCCATCCCCAATTTCAGCCAACCATGTTTACAAGACCTCAGTTAGTAAATCGCAGTTCTAATGAACCCATCCATTTGTTCAGCAGAAAGTGGCCTCTGGAGTTGCTCCATGTGAAGCCCATAGACCAGAGTTACATATGGCAGGCTTGCAACCATGAACACAATATGATTTATTTATAACGACCATGTGTGTCTGATGCCTGTGTGGCTTCACTTGCCTGCCTCAGTCTGGGATGACCTGTCTACTCTCTGTGTCCCATTCCAGGGACTGTACTTCCAAGCTGGGTTAACAGAGATGGGTGACTGGTTGGGGGCTGCACACACAGATGCCCCTAACCCTGCTTGCCACATAACAATCTGTGGCCAACACAAACTGGGCCAAATGTACCTTGCTGCAAAGGTTTGCCATCTACGATGGTTTTCAGTGGAGAGTGAAGCAGCTGCTGGAATGACTGACCAGGTGCAGGTCCATTAAACTGTTGTGTATTTACCCAAAAGGAAGGCTGGGGTTCTTGTGAAGAAAGCCCCACTCCTTATTTCACAGATTTCGAACCCCCACCATTTGGCAAAGGTGAATGCTCCAAAGGTGAATGGCAGATATGCATCAGAAGGTCCAACCACGGACTCCAGCCAAAGTGCAGTAAACTTCTGCCTTCAACACTCTCCCCCCTTTAGCCCCCTGTTGTATTTATACTTTGAAAGAAGTTACCATGAAGCAGTAGTCACCTGGGCATGCTCGATTTTTGACAAGCCTTAGTCACTCCGTACCCAGCAGAACAATTCACATTATAGTCGAAATCCTGTGAAGATTCTGCCACACATGCTCACACTAAAATGCCAGTAGCTCCACTTACCTTCTTTATTAAGCCTCATAACCTCCCTGCTTTTTCCACCCTCTTTTCCAGCCTCTTCTAAATCTACATCTGCAGATGAAAAAGAAAAGGAAAAAAGAAAATAAGGAAAAAAAGAGAAAAAAAGGGTGGGGGGAGCCAAAGTCAAGGGGGGGGTGGGGGGAGGGAGAGTGTTTATTTGCAAACAGATCGATATAAATACTGTCTATGAAAATCTTTCAAAAATTGACAATGCAACATTTTCTCCCAAGTCTGGATTTCCATCTACCTGGCCCAGATAGGTACCAAAAAAAACTATGCAAGCAGCAACAGAGTAGCCTTTTACACAGACACACCGTGGGGCTGTGAAAGCCCACCCCGCGGGCTGCCACGGGAAGCGGGGCACAGACAGACAGACAGACAGCCCTGGCAGCAGGGCCTCTGTCTGTGCATTGATGATCTGTCTCTGTGTGTATTTATTTAGAGAGAGAGGGAGAAGCATGGAGGACACCGGGGGCCACTCTCTCTCTCACACACACACTTTTTCCCAGTGGCTCTAGGTGAATGGAAAGGTTACAGGATAATAAAAGGAGGAGGAGGCGGTGGGGTTCTTACTGTCGGAGCAGTGTAATTTGGCGGCGTCGATCCAGGAGGACCAGGGTTTGCCCAGAAACGCCTCCGGACTGGGCACTTTGCGATCCAGTGTCGCCATTGCTCTTCCTTCTTGTTGCTTTTTCCCTGTTCCTTCGGCAGCAGCAGCCGAGAGACACGGGATTCGAGAACGCTCCGACGTCATCTTCGGAACGTTCCGACATTGAGCGCTCTGAAAGGGGGAGGGAGGCGGGCCGGGAGGAGGGAGCGAGGAGGAGGAGGAGGAGGGGCCGCCGCTCGCGCCGGGCCGCTCGGCTGCTCTCGCCGCGCGCGGCCGCCAGGGGCAGCAGAGAGCCGCCCGCCCGGGCGCCGGGGGAGGGGCCGCTCGCCGCCGCCAAGCGCCGGGGATAGAGGCTGCCGCGCGCCGGGCGCCGAGATGCTGCGGCGCGGCCGCCACCGCCCGCACCCACCGACCCCGAGCCCGGGCCGGCTGGGTCTGGGGTGCGCGGCAGGGGCGCGGGATGAGTCGGAAGAGGCCGACCTGGGGCCGCAGGAAGGGTGGTCTTGCCTGCGGAGTTGCAGCTAGAGGACGGAAAGTTTTTGCATGCAGCCCTTCCAGCACGTCCTTGCCTCGCAGGGTCCCTGTCGTACACGATGCGACCCCCCCGCGGGAATTCCCGCGGCTCAACGGGGAGGAACTGAGGAGGGTTGCATCCCTCCTCAGCCAACGACACCCCAAGCCAGTGAGGCGACCCAGGTGACCTCTCCTACCAGCCACCACTCACTTCACCCTTTCTCCTATTTCGCGCTGGACCTTGGGCCGTGGAGGATTCTGAGGATGCCTTTGGGAGGCGAGACCATTGGTTAAACGGAAGTGGTTCTATAGAGCAGGTAAGTGTGGGGCGAGAGGAGTCTCCTTCCCATCCCAGGTTGCGGGAAGTGCAAAGCCCAAAACTCAGGGCCGCGGTATCCCCAGATTCAGCACGCGATGCGTGTCCTCCGGCAGGCAGAGAACCACTTGCTCTGGGATCACTGCAGCGGGGGAGCGAATTCACTGGCTTTCGGAAGATGCTGCCCAGCTAGCCGGCCGAGCTCCTGGAACAGTTCCCAGCGCTCTCTACCCTGAGCCGAGGGTGAGCGGATTAGCGCGAGCAACCTGCGGCCGAAGTGTGATACCTGCAGGAGTCCTCTTCTGGTTTAACTGCTTGCTCCAGCCAGCAGGAAAGGAAAGCGGTAGGTTGTGTCTGGGTTTGGGGCGTTTGATGCTTTGAGATAAGCATCCTCTCCGTAGGGTAGGCAACAAAAGCCTTAAAAGGGCTTCTGGTATCTCTTTGAAAAAAATCCTGCTGTTTACTAGGAATTACCTGAAATACATGGACCTTCCTCAACAATAGATGCATTTTTCCTCATTTTCCCAGCACCCTTTTAGTTCTTATCAATTTTCTGTCCCATGGCTGAAGTGCACTGATTTGAAGTTGCTCTGCTGACTGAGTTCTGCCCTGGCAGGGCTATCTAATGCCCCTGCACTGGCCATCCTGTACCTCAAAGCCAGGGTTGGGATGGACAATGATGGGGGAGCCTCGGACTGGTCTTCAGTTGTGATGTTGGTGTGAATGGGCTTGTATTTTGTTAGATCCAAATTTCATTTGCCTTTGCTCTCTTTGGAAGGGTTCCTACATAGGCTAAGTAGTGGCTCTAGTACCACTGAGTGGAGAATGCTCATTTTAAGGACTGGTGGTGTTAACAAATATTTATTACTTATTGACCTCTTAAGATGTGCTAAACACTGTGCTTGACATTTCCATCCATCCATCCACCCACCCATCCATCCATCCATGCATCCATCCACCCACCCATCCATCCATCCATCCACCCACTCATCCATCCATTCATCCATCCATCTTTTCAACAAACATTGCCTGTCATGGACCGGCTGCCTTTGGCAGAGGAAGACAAATGAGACCCATACCTGGTGGAGATGCAGTCTGGTGGTCTCTGTGGAAGAAGGTGTGAAACTTATCAACACATTGGAAAAACAAGACATGTACACAGTGATTGGCCAGGGTGGTGAATGGCATGGTCTCTTAGAGCTGGACCTGTTCGTAAGAGAAACTGAAAACTAGTTTAGAGTGATCAGAAAATGTGTCACAGAGAAGATAGGATCTGCTCTGCATCTTGAAAATTGGGAAGGATTTGTAATGGTAAGATGAAGATTGGCCTTGCAGAGGGAGGAGTGGTGGTGGTGTCGGTAGAGGCTTCAGGCTGAGCAAAGTGTGTTGTGTTTGGGTGTTGAGTGTGGTTTCCCAGGGAGGGCAGGTTGTTAATGGCCATGCGGGAGTGATGAGTTTGCATGGACAGGCCTGGGTCAAGTTATGGAAGGCACTGAATGGCAGCCTAAAGAGTTTGGGTTTTGTTTGACAAAGGGAACTCCTAAAGGGGCTTTCTGCTATCTAAGGAGAAATAGCAAGTGTGATTTAAGAAGATTACTCTAGCCTTAGTGCCCAGGAGGTATTGGAGCATGGAAGCTGGTTAGAAAAATAGTGCTATAATATTCTTGGTGTGAAGAAACGAAGGCCTGAACTTTGATGATCCCATGCAGGTGGAGAAGAGAAGACAGGTATGAGAGACTGTATGAAAGCACCTCATGAGCGTATGTTGTATGGCTGGACTTGGGAAGAGAGAGAGAGATCTCAGAGGCAGAAGTAATTAGATCCTGGAACTTTTCCCCTCCCCCTACTGCTTTCCAATTTTCCTTCCCTTTTGGTGTTTATACCTCTGTTGTACATGCAAAGGAAAATGTGGTAGGCAGCCTCTGAGAGACCCAAATGATCCCCACATCCTGGTATCATGCCCTGTGGGATCCCCTCCCCTTCAGTGGGCGCTGGACCTAGTGATTTGCTTTTGACAAACAGAACATGGCAAAGGTGATGGGATGTCACTTCTCAGGTTAGGTTACAAAAAGGCTGTGGCTTCTGTCTTGCTCACTCTTGCTCTCACTGGCTTGCTCTAAGGGAAGCCCTTTGCCGTGTTATGAGCTGCCCTGTGCAGAGGCATGTGTAGCAAGGAACTGAGGGCAGCCTCTGGCCAACAGCCAGCAAAGAACTGAGGCCCTTAGTCCAATAGCCCATGAAGTTGCTGAGTCCCGTCAACAGCCACATGTGTGAGTTTGGAAGCATATCCTTCTCCATTCGAGCCTAAATGAGACCACAGCCCAGCCTACCTGTGGCAGAGGCACCTGGCTAAGGCATGCCTGTATTCCTGACCCACATACATGGTGAAATAATTAGTGTTTGTCATTTTAAGTTGTTGTGTTTTGAGGTAACTTGTTACTCAGTAATACATAAGTAATATGGAATGATTTGGGTATAAAGTGACTGGATAACAAAAAACTTACGATATGAGGGTGGCGATGGAGGATGGGTGAAATAGGTAAAGGGGGAAAATTAGAATGTTCAGTTTCCTGATCTGGGTAATAGTTAAATGAGTGTACATACATGTTAAAATTTACTGAGCTGTACCCTAAGATTTGTACATTTTATTGTATGTACCTCAATTAAAAAAGGAAAAAGAAAAATTCCTGTTACATGAATTAGCAAAAGACATGCCATGTATGGCAGGTATGGTCACAAGCTGGTGGCCCCAATACAAGTGTTGCTTAGCCTGTGGTAGCTTTTTAAAAACATTTTTATCTGTTGCCAACATGTTAAAAATGGGATTGGCCACAAAAAGAAAACAAAACCTAGTTAGAAAAATAAGTTTAACATAGGAAAAGTCTGAGCAATGTTCCCAAGTTCCTCTTTTCAGCCTCCTGGGAATTGTGTATCACTCTCAGAAATTTTTTGCCAGCTTGGTGAGACTGGTTTACACTTGTATCCTCTATACGCTGAGTTTTGTAATTTATCTTTATCATTTGTTTACTCAAGTTTTTGCTATTTAAACTCAGTCACTACCCTGTGGAAAGAATTCTCTAATGGCAAGGTTATGACATAATTGTTAGAAACAGGTCTTTATTGATAGCGGTGCCACCACACTGGTGGCTGTTACAACCCTGCCCTCCTCAAGGTATGTGGAAAGTACAGTGATGAAGGGACTCAAGCCCAGAGGCTGGAAGTCAGTGACTTGAGGTTCCAGAAAATTTTGTCTCCTCTCCCAGGAGCCACTTTTTAAACCACTAAAAAAGTCAAAGGTGGCTTATCATCAGGAGATATCAGAGCACCTCAGTTGCAGAGAAACAAGGCCATTTTAACATTAGTTTACTCCCCCGAGTCTCTCAAGTAAAAGTTACTTCTGCACCTTGTGTGACAGTGGTATGACAGCCTAAATTTTATTCCCTTTGAACTGGGAGGATTTTAGTTTGCAGCATAATAAAGTATGGTCTGGAATCTAAAATTGATTTAGCATCTCTACAAAATAAGCCTTTGGATATATTGCCATGTTTCACTGATAATTGGAGCACGTGTACATTTTTGTAGTTAGAGTTATGTAGTATAATCGTGGTTTCTACTCTAAGCCTTCCACAGTTTCTCCACTGACTATAGAGATAACAATGCCAACTTTGTGAAACTGTAACCCACCTATGACTTTTAACTATGGAAAGCATGGCTGTCAATTAAATTACACCACTGAGAGTCAGAGGAGGAAGGAAGCAGTGTTCATCAAACTACTTGACATCTACACTTGACTTTAGTTGAAAATTGAGGTCAGTTGGGAGTAGTATTAAGGTCAACATGGTGCATGTATATTGTCTCTACTTATATATCAATAATGTATATGGCAAATTTGAATTCCTTTTAGTACTAAATAGTTAACAAATACTGTTAGTGGCAACAAGAATCTTATACATTCTTAACAGGAATAAATTGACCTGTGAAAGAGTAATTTAAAGCATGTTAGCATAATGTCTGTGTGATAAAACTGCCTAGCAAAGGTATAACACCTTCTTCCCCTCACAGTTAATGTTTGGGAAGATAAAAGGGGTGTAAATATTATTGTTTTGGTATCTTTCTTAGAAAAATAGCAGTGGTTGGCCTAATTAAAAAGGAGACTCTCCCAAAGACCAAATAAAGAAATCAATTCAACAGAGATGACAGAGGAAAATACTTACTTGAGGAACACCTAGTTCTGTAGAGATGTGCATCTAATACATCATGCACGATCACTTAGTCTGATTCATGTGCTGTTGCACTGCATTATTGAAAAGAAGAGAAGAGGAATGTTAACTCTCTCATTTCAGGATTTTAAACTCCTGCTGGGGTCCAGGTGCTGTGTGTGTACCCCACTTCCCACATAGACTGTTGGGAGTTTCCCGGAGGCAACGAGGAGAAAATGACATGTCCCATTAAAATGAGGCGTCCCTGGAACTGTTTGATGTTCTTTGTCTTAATTGAATCCATCTATCCCATTTGCCACTCCTCTTTTTAAATTTATTTCTCTAACCCACTCTCTTTGATAACTGTAATTTGGAGGGAAATTTGTTGCATACTTTGTTACCTTTTATAAAAGCTCTCTGCATCTGAAGGGCAGGTGTACCATCTCTCTCCTCTTGTTGAACAAGGTTGCCTGCCTCTTTCCTGCCCTCACACCTTGCTAGATAAAACAGGATTGGGATAAAAGACCCTCAGTAGCAACAGGAGTAGGAAAGAAGATAGGAATTCCAGGCTTTGGGTTATTGGTTTTAATATAAGGCCCTAGCCATGTGCCAGACCTGCAAAAACATGGACTGTTAATAAATATAACTACAAAAACGTGAAATTTGCATTCTGACTGGGCAGAAAAGCTAAAATGGGAGTGTATTTTGAGATAAAGCTGCTTTGTAGCCTCCAGCAGACTCATCTGTGACTTTGATCACTTGGGACTCCCTGGAACTGCTCTGATGCTGCAGGGTGAGGAGCCCTCTGCTCCCCAGAGTGTGGCGGAGCCACCCTGGTCTTAACCAGTGCTCTTTCTCAGGGCTTGGACAGGAGAAAAGATGGCTTCTCTTTAGCATTGTTGCAGAAATCATTTTTGGCCCATAACTTCAATATAAATAAAAACAAATTTAATATTAATGTACATCTATCAACTGGAGCAAAGCCCACCTACTCCTCCAAACTCACCAGTTAATATGTTTGGGGAGGCAGTGTGGGGTGGAGGCCAGAGCACACGCTTGAGACTGGCAGGAGTAAATTGGAATCGCTCTACACTCATTTGCTTGAAAACCTTTCTGATCCAGCTGAACCTGAGTTTCCTCATCT